ATGTGTCTCTCTCACGTTGAGATTTCTCTCTCTCCCCCTTCCTCCCACTCTATCTACAAATCAATGGAAAAATAACCTTGGGCCCTGGCCGGTTTGGCTCAGTGGTTGGAGCGTCAGCCTGCGGTACAGAGAGACCCGGATTCGGTTCCCGCTAAGGGCATGTACCTCGGTTGCAGTTTGTCCCCGGCCCTGGTTGGTCGTGCGGGTAGCAGCCACTCGATGTGTCCCTTCACATCGATGTTTCTCTCTCTCTCTTCCTCTCTCTCCCTCCCGCTCTATCTGAACAAAAAATGGAAAAATATCCTTGGGTGAGGATAAAAAAGAAAAGAAAAAAAGAAAAATAACCTTGGGTGAGGATTTAAAAAAAAAAAAGTATTTGCAATCAAGAGGAGAGAGTACTGCAACCCCTCCCTCCACCTGAGCTCTGTACCTTGTTCTCGTCCTTCGTCTTAGACGGAAAAGCCTTTTCATTTCCACCGTTGTCATAGGTTTGGGGGAGGGGAGCTCACAAAAATAGGGAGATCTAAACAGCAGTGCATCATTATCACAACTATTTTTCAATCCCAACTGACATTTAGCTGAAAATGTTCACTTTCTGTGATCACAAAGTATTTTATTTTTAACAAAAGGGTTTAAAAATATACCCAAACTCTTTACAATATTTTAAACAGATGGGGAAATTTCTCATCCACAGTACTTGTTAATCCTCGCAGGAGGTTATATTTCCATTGATTTTTAGAGAGTGAGAGGGAAGGAGAGAGGGAGAGAGAGAGAAACATTGGTGTGAGAGGGACACATTGATTGTGATCAAACCCACTACCCAGGTACATGCCCCCTTGACCAGAATCAAACCCAGGACCCTTCGGTCCCTGGGACACCACTCTAAATGCTGAGCCAAACTGGCCAGGGCCCGTGTCCATGATTTTTTGGAGACATCTGTGTTTGTTTTTACACACTTGCATTACTTCTGGCAATAAACTATCGATAAATATAGTCCCAAATATTTGTTTTTGAAATGCTCAACCCCTAGCACACTCATTTGAAAACTCATCATATTCTCATTGTTGATTTCACATTTGTCTCGAAGAGGCAGATGAAGTATCGTGACACATTCAGCCACATGTCATCCTAATGGAAGCCAACAGACTTAGAACATCTGTCTTCTGGTCAAATGAAAACGTATCCCAAGTTCAATAGCACTTTTACAGAACTCTGCCCCAGGGAACCTCTTGAGATAGTAAAGATTTTCATTGTCATCAACCCCCACCCCCGTCACTTAGGCAGCACTGTAAAGTTTACTCTGTTTTAGACATTTGGGGGGACAGCTGTAAACGCACAAACTTGTGTAAGATGAACCACACTGGGGGCCTCCTTTCATACTCTGGACTCTGGACTTCCTACCTGCACCTATGAATGAATGATTCCATGAACAATCTCTAGTGCCCTTCGCGGAGGCTCCAGATATTTATTGAGGAGAAACCGAAACAGAAAAAGGTCCTGTCAGAAGGGCACCGTGACGCTGGTGAGGCGAGAACCCAGAGACGGGCACACACAACGCGTGAGCTGCACTGCGTGAACAGGGACAATGGGGTGCTCATAGGTGCCTGAAGGAACTGAGGGAGCAAGCCACGCATGCATCTGAGAAGAAAATCCAAGAGAAAGGGAGGCAGTGCAGAGGCCCTGAGGTGGGTGCGTGTGTGGCGTGTGTGAGGAGGACCCCGCAGACACGCGTGGCTGCAGGCCGCAGAAGGGGCAGACTGCTGAGTGGTGTGTAGGAGCGCTGGTGTGGGGCAGAGGGCGCCGGGACCGGGCCTTGCTGGCGGTGGGGACCAGCTGTGACCCCCCAACGCTGCGGGAAGGCTCTGAGGAATGTCGGGGAGGAGTGAGGTGAGTGGCTGCACTGTTTGTTGATTTCTATCCATCTGGACTCATTTTATTCTGTGGATGAAACCTAATCTGGCCAATGTTTGCTGCTGCTGCAAGGACCTGTCAAGGGGCCCCCCCGGCTGGCTCCTGCGCTCTCAGGGGTGCCCACCTGTCTGAGCCCTCCCTACCCCCTGGCGCCTCATCCCGCATCTTCCCTGCGCCCAGAGCTACTCCCCTTATCCAGGAGAACCGAGTCTGCGCCCGAGGGGTGCTGCCGCCCCGGGGTCCCCGCTTCCGGCCTCCCGGTGGACAGGGCTGGGACGTGCGTGTGCGAGGCCGCCTCGTGGGCACCCGCACGGCACAGCGCCTGCCTGTCACCGTTACACACCACGAGTTCACGCTGCCCCCGATGCCACTGCACCCCACATTCACGCCAGGCCCTCCCCACACTGACGCGCCCAGCTCGTTATCCACCACGTATCACTTATCCGCTCGCGGACAGCACACGCGGACAGCAGCTTCAGGGCTGCTCACCCACACCCATGAGAAGCCACGGACCTGCTGGGTCAGCACCGGCCTGTGCAGGGCTCCCTGCCGTCGGCTGTGGTGCCCAGTCAGACCCTGTTCTGCAGTCGGGCAGGTGGCTCTGCTTGTCCCTGGCCCTCAAAGTGTGGACTGCGCTACTCCTTCTGGGGCCTCATATCCTAGGACAGCCGTCATTGCTTATTGCGGGGCCGGGGGGGTTGTGAACCATTCCCACTGCTCTAAGCCAGAGCTGCACAAAAATCTGTATCTGAGAATTGACTGCCACCCCTCGTGCCTGCTGTATCGGTCCATTCTGTCTTCTTTGCACCCCTTCCCCCCCACATCCCCGGGGAACCAAGCTCTGGTCCTGGTTCAGCCTTCCTGTATCCCTTTCCCAGAAGTGAGCACATGCATGTGCACTTCCTTGTATCTTCTTCTTTCCTGCACGAAGGCTTGCACACCATCAATGGTCTTTTGCATTTTGCAAATACCTATTGGAAACCACCCACATCAGCTTACAGAGCTGTACCTGGCTGAGTGGCCCCCCCCCCCGCCCCCATTTGCACCATATTCCACTGTGTGGACCAAACCAGAGTGTCTGCAACCATTCTACTCTCTGTGGTCATTTACACTGTCTCCAATATTTTGGAGATTAAACAACGGCACAACTATTCCAAGAGCACCAGCACTTTGATTACTGCAGGCATGTTTTCAGCATACTCCCAGAAGGGGCACAGGGAAGTGCAGACACAGCTTGTTGGGTAGCACCAAATTTCCCTCCAGAAAAGTGGTACCGATTTGCATTTCTACCCGCAAAGTACACGAGAGTGCCCATTTCCCACAGCCCCATCAACGAACGTGCGGCTGTGTTTAGACTCTTGTCAATGCAACAAAGTCTTCTTTTCTGAGGGAAGAACACATGCTAACTGGTCTACCTGTGCCTAGGTTACAATGGAGAAAAACAAAACAAACACAAACGATGTAGAGACGGCAGCAGACTGACACTGACTGAATGTAGTGAAAAAGGAAAGGTTCCCCTCTTGTCTCGTCTTCCCTCTACTCCCAGAACGCCGTGCGCGTTCTTCTTGCCAAAGCCCAGCCCCACACTAATGCCCAGATGGAGGGATCAGCGCGGGTCTCTCGTGGCCCTGACTCCTGTCTGGGGCGGGGCACAGCCTTGACCTCTGAACTCCATGTAAGTGTTAGTCCGTGTGCACTTAAAGAACAGGAACGGTACCTTCTGCCGAAATGGACAGGGCGGGGCAAGCTATCCCGGAACGACCCTCTCAGCAAACAGCTGACTCAGGTGTGTGCTCTTAGCTGCCTTCCTGTATCGGCATAAACACTGGAGAGGTCGTCTCGATCCCTTCTCTTCCAATCCAGCCCCGGAGAGTTCGCGTCAGCCTTCGCTCACGGCCTCTCCTGGTACACAGGCGGGCCTCGTTTCACGGGCTCCACGGATGCCCCGTTTTCTGCCAAGTGAAGGCAAGACCCTCCACCACGCGACTGCAACTCCCGATCGTGACATCTGCTTTGCTGCAGCGGTCTGGGGCCCACCCCACCACCACCTCCGCGACAGGCCTGCACTTCCCAATGCCATCAATAACCCAAGGCTACGTATGATTAGTTCCTAGAAGAAATAACCTTCACTGTCCGTCCGTCGCGATGTGGCCATCTACGTTCGTTCAGACAGTGGGAGGCGCTGTTACACGTCAGCACTGAAACTCTGATCACATGACAGGTGCTCAAGAGTAACGCTGCGCTTCCCCAACACGCTCTCCGACTTGACTCAGCCTGAGGTGAGAGTTATCATCCGTGCAAATCTGATCGCCGTGTATCTGGGTCAAGCTATGTTATAATAACTGAAGAAGTACACGAATCGACGTCCTGGTCTCAACTACACTTCTGAAAGTTTTAACTACACATTCGATCGATCAAAGGCCATACGAGTTCTATGGTCATAACTTCCCTTCTTAATATTCCTCCGGAAGGGCCGTTTCACTTCACCCAAATACACTTGCCAAAAACCAAAGGGGATCTGTAGGCAGCAGAGCCTTTTTGATTCACGGGGAGTGTTGCCGTTACGGGGGGAGGTGAATGTTCCATTTCTTTCTCTGCTGGTTTCGCAGTGAAAGGTGGCAGGCTAGGGCCGGGATGTTGCTAGGCACAGTGCCCGAAAGATGCATCGAACTGCCAACTTAGCTGAAAATAAACACTTTAATCAATCTTTAAAATATCAAACAGGGCTGGTCCACCTTGTGGGACCAAAGACCTGTCAACTCTCGTCTCCTGTAAGTTAAATCATCATCAAGTGGTCTTGTCTTAAAAAGTAACCACAGGGATGTATAAGTAGAGTCAGTAACTCACATTTCTAAAAATTTCAATTTCTGATTTAAATGGAAAACGTTTATTTTAGAAAGTGACATTTACTGCATAACGTAACACGACGTCCTGGTGGTTTGCACAAACTCTCGGACACAAACTGACGATTTCCTGTCCGGGGGGGTTTTGCATCATCACGATCATCGAATAAAGAACTCTCCCAAGCGGGCCTGTACGCTGACCGCGGGAAAGGTGACACAGTGTCTGCGTCTGCTTCTCCTACTTACTTCTGTGCTCCCTGAGACGACAGCTTTGTCCACGCTCACCGACAGCGGCCCCTCCACCTGGCACACTCCCAGCGACCACTCCACGCAGCGGTGATGGGCCCAGCAGGTGCCTGAGGGTCAAGTGAAAGGAGCCAATGGAAAACGTTAGCTGCATTAACGCCAGAAGGAAAGATGCAGCACCCCCAAACCCACTCTAAGCAGCCCGTCTCAAACTGTGGTCCAGCACCCTCTGGGAGCTCGTCAGAAACGCAACATCTCAGACCACAGCCAAGACCCCCGGAATCACAACAGCGGTGGAGCCAGAAAGCTGTCTCAACAAGCCCTCCGGGTGAGTCTGACCAACCCAATGATCGAGAATCACTGAATGAGTAATTATGGCTCCAACAACAACAAATTAGTTTTGAGTCATTTTACTGAAATATGACCAGAAGATATTTTATTTGGAATCTAACACATAAAATACAAAGGACATTATTTAGTACTGTGTTTATGGCAAACAGGCTACAACATACACCTCTACTCTGCTCTGTCCCGCACCCAGAGCCTACGTCGGTCATGAGGGACAGCCCGGTCGTTACATTCTCCGTCCCAGGGCCTGGAACCACCATCAGTACGCAGGGCACCGTGGGGTGAAATGTACTCAGAGCCCCGCAGCGCCATCTCCTGAGTGTGCGCTGCTCCTGTTCTAGGGGGAAACCCACATGACTACGAACCACGGGCCTTCAGCCCACAGCAGGACAGACCACACTGCCTCACGGGTCCTGCTAAAGTGTTCTGTCTTCAACTGTCAGATCACCGTGGCATCGCTGTCTACACAACACTAAATGCAGATATTGACAAAAGCACCCAGGCCCGGCGTTAGCCTGTGCAGGCGCTAAATAAATTAGCTCAACGTAATTAGACAGTTTGTTTTACCTAAGCAGGCACACTTAACAATGGCATTCTTTACAATGTGATTGTAATTATTTCTAGAGGAAAAGGCATTTACTATGAAGTTGGTAATTCACTGGAATTAAGAGGCCTCCAGACTCAAGAGGTAGCTGTGACTGCAGACCGGCTCCTACCTGTAGGGTCAAATAAGGCTTGGACATCAACGGCATCGGGAAGGCCGACCAGACTGAGTTCATCCCATAACTGACCAGCCTGGTCGTCGGAAGGGGTCTGTGTGCTCACACTCACACGGGACACTGTGTTCTGCTGAGGAGACCGTTCTCTGGGGAAATAAAACAAAATCGATGCGGAAGGGGTAACAGAAAATGTTTCATTTCACACCAACTTAGTGCCAGGTCATTTTTAACTTACTAGGCATAAAATGTCATAAAACAACGTTTAGAACACATCTAGTACGACTCACCGTGCAGTCTAAAACTGGACTGCTACCTTGTAGCTGGTAAGCAACAACAAAAAAGTCTCCGAATCGGTAAAAAGTACAAAAATTACAGTCGCAAAAACATAAAATGAAAATTACCGCTGCAAATTTACTTCGCTATTCCGTAATTTCTTTACAAATTAGCTCTCTGATATTCTAATCAGGGACCACAGTCTATTGCATACAACGAGGACTCTCTCTGGCCTTAAACGCCTCTAAAACCCAAGGCGGTCGAATCAGAAATGTTCACTTGCTTTGGCAGAGGTGAGGACTAACTACCACGCAGAACTGGTTCGGTCTGTACACAGAGGTTATTTCCCAGGGAACGGAGACGCACAGTGAGAGGCAGTGGAGCAGGAGGTCAGCGGGGGCTGGAGGTGGGGGGCCGGCTGCCGGTGCCCCACCATCACGACAGCTGGCCTGCGGCAGGACACCGCGGGCACTCTCAACCGAGACTGCACCTCACAAGTCGGAAGTGAACAAGCAAACGCGAAATCGCCACCGGGAGGCTGGGGACGAGGGGCTTCAGCGTGACAGCGAAGCCACAGCACACAGATGAACAGTGGTCGAGGTCTGCAGCAGGCGGGAGAGTCCGGACCCTGGAGGCCCTGACACGTCCGGTATTAACCACCGTAAGCGATGCCTGCTATTGTGTTTACACATGAGACATGGGCAACCAGATGACCGGCAGCAAAGCTTGAGTCTTCTCCTGATATCACAGTGTTTGACCCATTATCATGCTGGATTACACCGCTACTGAATATAGCCCATAACTCACTGCATGTCTATCTGCTGGGTATTTATCATGATTCCTGTTAAGAGAAAATCAGCACAATGACCAGGGCACTAAACTTTTTATACCTGGAATCACTAATAGAAAAAAAGTATTAACATACGTCAACAAGTACATTTAAATATCAAACCATACGAAAATAGTGAAAATTTTTTACGTTCAGCATCAGGAATGCAGAGCCTTAACTTTTTTTCTTGGAACCTTCAGCATGCTATGCTATCTTTAAATTCTCATTTTTATAAATGTCCACAGTAAAATAAACTCTTTCCTGTAAATATAAAATCCATTCCTACAAATACACTCTTCATTATTAATCATTATTATTTTAATGGGGGGAAAACTAACAGTCCATCCATAAAGACTATTGTACCATTTTATCGTATTTCTTCTGCGCCAGCATTTGATGGGTGGGGATGGGCATAAAACCCAATGGAATGGCTAACCAGTCTATACCAACCAGTTCCTAACCAGCAGCTTAATCAACGTCCCCCTCAGGTCTGGCGACGGGTGTGCCAGACACACCACGTCCACAGATGCTGAGGCCAACCCTGAGGGTGAAGCACCCTCCTCAGGAAAGAACATTAGGAGAAGCCAGCTGACATGCACAGCCCAAAATTATCAGTCTAAACAAAAGGAAAGAAGAAAAAACCCTTGATTATCTATTCTTATATTTAACAAACCAAGAAGAACAAACTATTTTAAAACCTTTTACAAATTAAAAAGAAAAAAATTAGCTGTGTATCTGGTTTATAGCCCATTAGTAACATATTCTGTAAATATTTAAAACCATTACCAAGCTAAATTAATTGTTTACCCCTAAATGATTTCCAAATTTTATAAATGTGCTTTGTTCCTAAGGTCCATTAACTGGTTTATTATCGTTGCTTAATAACTTGGTAAACACTAAGTGTGTATAAAGACTTTCATTAAACCAAGGCTATTTTTATATAATTATCATCTTAGCTCATAAAGGTTTTCACTAAAAATTAACTTAGCTTATAAAATAAGTTATTGAGGCCCAACTGTATTTCCCAGAACAGGTGTTTATATAATTGCCATTATTCAAAGCAGAACATGAAGATGTAAGATATGACCTGGTCCAGTGCATAAATGTGCTAATTATCAATGGACATTGTAAGTCTGCCAAACTTTTAATATATTAGGATGAGACCGTGCATTTTATCAAAGAGGTACCACTCACGTAGAGGATCTAGCTACGGTCTTTAAAACAACAAGGCTGCAAAGACAGGCCTTCTGAACTTCCTTAAAATGTTCCCCCTTAAATTCTTTACAAAGATTCTCTCTGGTGATTGTTTCATTTCCTACTTCAGGTCTTCAAGGCCTTGGCGGCAGCCCAAAAGAAGGAGCCAATCAAATAAGTACAACACAACAATGCCTTCTACTTGCTTCTGGACAGAGGCCAGACAAGCACTGGGGTGGTTACATCATCACCCTCCGGGCTGCGCTCTGAGCCTTCCAAGCTAAATTAATCTTCCGCTTTCCCGTGGACCTCAGGAAACTTCGGCTCCCTCCACCACCAAAGCCAAGTCCACAGATTCAGATGGCCTTGAACCAAAACTCTACAACACGTAAAGAGATTTTTAACTCGGAGAGCAAGCATAGCAGACAAGAGTTTTGGGTAACCAGACTGTCCATGAATACAAACACACATATATACTCATACAAAGATCTTATTCTTCGTTTAAAAAAAAAAAGCATCTTCTTTAACTCGGCATAGAATTACTACTGAGAATGCAGGCAAGCCCACACTGTGCTGTGGCGACAGTTTGCAAGGCAGCCGGACGTTCTCGAACCGTACAATCAATCGCTAAAGGGCACAGAAAGGACGCGAGTGAAAAACTTGGTTTTGCTGTTCTCGTCATATTCTTACCAGGAAAGACTTCATTAGTCTTTGTTATCCTCTTTCCATTTATGCTACGTTCTGGAAAGCTCTCTTCCCTGCGTTAACTTTGGTGACACACTGATTTTTGTGAATGTACCACTAAGATCGCAAACTCTTTAAAAACAAGAGAGGAGGTTGGAGAGGGGCTCGTGGGTTCGTGGTGAGCCAGGAGCGCTGGGTCGCCCACCGTTGGCACTCGGGCGGCGTGACCACACGCTCGGGTCCCGCACCTGCTCGGGCCTCGCGCGCGCCCGGGGAGCGGGGTCGTACCTTCTCTGTCCTCTCTGTCTCCGCGGCGCGGAGGCCGGCGTCTTCTCACAGGTGCCGTTGCTGTTGCCGTCAGCGTCCTTCCTGCTCGAAGGCTGGTTTTTCCTCGGCAGGATAAATCCGGGCGTCCCTCTGAATTGTTTTAAGTCTCCTTGTCCCAAGGAACTTTTTTCACCACAGTAACAAAAAGCGCAGAGCTGTTCACTGGTAGAAATGAAAGCGGGGGAAACAGAGGAGGAGAGAGCGGGTTAACTTTTTAAAGTGACAAAAGTGGGTGCCTGCGCGTGAAAATTAAATGTGTTTTCAGTGTGCGCTAAGCTTGTAAATAGGTCTGCAGCATAAGAACAATGAAGTTGGATAACACTTCTCCATTGGCAATTCTACTTTTCCACAGCATGACTTAAAAAAAGGCAATAGAAATAGTAAACATACCAAATCAAAAAAAGTATCGTCTATACTTAGCGACACAATTTTCTTTTCAATCTGATTCAAGAAATGCAAATGATCAAAAAGAATAAAGACAGCAGAGCTAAGACTGGGGAAGAAGGCAGGGTCATGGCCACACGGTGACGTACAGCTCTGTCAGACAAGTGACGACCAAGTTGTATTTCCCACCCGGTGGAACGCCCTCTGTGCACGACAGGACCGCACACAAACACGCGCAGAGAGATGTAGATACGGGAGGTGAGGGTTACTGGGCTGGGCAGTTAGTGAAGGGAGGAGTGAAAGGGTTGGAACGGAATGGAGAGGGTGAAGGGTGGAGCAGGGTTGGGAGAGCAGAGAAACTGTTTCACGGGATACACTGTATCGGCAGAGACCTGACCTTATGCGTTTAGCAAAACAATGCCACACAAAGAATGAGCCCTAGTGTAAACTAGGGACTTTGGTTAATAATACTGTATCAAATCAGATGTGTGGGTTGTAACAAAAGGCACCACACTCAAGCACAATGCTAACAATAAGGGAAACTGAGGCAGGAGAAGGTTGGCAATGAGAACCCTCTGTATCGTCTGCTTGGTTTTTCTATAAACTTAAAATTGTTTTAAACGATAAAAACTATTAATTTTTTTCAAGAAACTTTTAAAAGTGAAAGGACAAAAATAACCTATACTTATGGAACATATGCTTAATGAGGGACGTTGGGAAGACAAAATGAAAAGGACCACTTCTCTTGGATGTGTTTCTTTCCGCAACACATTTACAGGGGCTGCACCCCAATCTTTCTCCCCAGACATCAAAGTTCCCACCACTACCTCTGCCTTACCTACCCCGTGAGCTTCATAATGTCCTGCACTAACAGGTGATAGAAATAACCTATAATCTTTTTGTAGGTAATTTTTTTATATCTGAAGATCAAATTGGCTTTATCAAGCGATTCATGAATTGAGCAGCTTCCCTCCTAGCAACTAGAAGTCTCGACAATTGTTTGAACTTAAATTCATCTCTCTCAACTAATTTCCTTTTCTGAAAGTTGCCTATTTACATTTTTCCATTATTACCTATTTCAACTGAATGATAAATGTGTTGCCCATTGACTGACACGCACACACACACACACACACACACACTAAATGTAGTCTATTTTCAGAAAGGTCAAATAGGGGGGAAAAGTGTTTCTTGCTTTAAAGGTTCTAACGAGTAGCCTTTGCCAATATTGTATTATTTTCTAATTCTCTTGTCTGTAATTTTCTCTATGCCATTAGGTTGGCACTCTCTCCGTGTACCGTTGCTGGCTTGCTTCTCCCCTAGAAGCATCAGCTACGAGCAGCAACAATCAGACTGACACCAGCCTTATCAACAACACTAAGTACAACATCACTGATCAGAAAACCAAGCGATACTTTTAAGGTATTGATAGAAAATAGCTTAACCTTCCCTCTTATATCCAAAACCATCCCTCAAATGGGAGGTGGCCTACAATGATCCCTACCTTGTGAGACCTCAGACGTTCCACCACACAACAGGCCCCCAGGGAGGTCTTTGTAGAGAAGGACTCAAGTCACTGACGCTTTAGGACAGGTTGTAGGAGAAGCAGAGGTAAGGACAAACGCCTCAGAGTACGTTCCCGACTTTGGGGGGCCCGGAGAGCTCAGGGCAGCTCCCGCCCTCGCAATCTACAGAGCCACCTTCAGCGCAGCGGGCTGCCCGAGGGGCAGGCCAGCACCGCACCTGCAGCCCGAGGGGGCTCTTCTGGAGGACGGGAAGCAAGCGCTCGCTTCACGGGGAAAGAGGGCACTGTGGGGCGGACAGGCAGGGTCAGAAGAATTCAGCAAGAAAACTTAACCTGCACAAGACGGAGTGTGAGAGGGGGTGAGAGCAGGTGACCACACCAAATGTCCCTGACCAACAGGCACAGGGAATCTGTCCGGGGACCAGCCCAGGTGCCCGTGCGCACGGGAAAGCGTCCTGGGGACGTGCCAGCCAGGTACCCCCCTGGGGAGGGGAGCAGCAGCAGTGGGGGAGACACGACGACCCGCCCAGACGTCCTGGGGAACACAAGCCTCAGGCTTGTGGGAGACCAGCAGAGCCACCACGCTGCTCGGTGATGACCTCGGGTGCAGGAGGAGGAGTCGGGGACGAGGAGCACAGAACACCCTGGACCAGGCCGGGTAGGTCTCCTGCAGCTGGGACCACGCGGGGCCACCGGGAACACCGGCCCCTGAGACCGGGCACGGGGCCTGCCGAAGAGCCGGTGCCAGCAGGACAAGCAGCGCCCCCCAGGCCGCTCCCCGGCGGGACTCGCACACACCGCCAGTGGGAACATAAAAGGGCACAGAGCACCGGAAAACACGGGGGTTTTCCTTTAAAATTACCTCTCCCCAGGCACCTACCCAAGTGAAAATAAAAACCCTATGTTCGCACTGAACCTAGGAGCATTTACACACGTTTTATTCATGACTGCCCCCAACTGGAAACTACTCACTGCGAAATGTGTGGGAAACTGTGGTAGGCACCTCCATAAACAGAACCCTGCTCGGCCATGAAAAGGAAACGCCTCCCTGGCCAGTCTGGCTCAGCGGTTAGAGCCCCGGCCTGTGGACCCAACAGTCTCAGGTTCAATTGCAGACAAGGGCACGTACCTTGGTTGCGGTTTGGGCCCTGGCCCTGGTTGGGTCATGCAGGAGGCAGCCAGTTGATGTGTTCCTCTCACATCGATGTTTCTCTCTCCCCCCGCCCCACCACACTCTAGCTGAAGATAAATGGAAAATATCCTCAGGTGAGGATATAAAGAAAACAAAAAACAAAAAAAAACTACAACATACACAATTACACAGAGAAGCCACAAACGCATCATGGCGCTGAGAAAAAGGCTAGATTCTTCCTGGCTCCTCTCACATGATAGCACTGCAAAGCCCAACTACGGGGACAGCAAACAGGCAAGTGGTTGCCGGGGGCAGAAGCCGGGTAGGGTCGCCCACAATGGGCACATCCTATTTTTGGGTGTGACGGCCCCGTTCTTGGTCTTCTGGTGTAGTGGCCCTGTGACCGTCTAGAACCGTCAAACTCACTCAACGGCACGTAAATTGAACTTTCATTTCATAAATGGGGGGTGGGAGGGGGAGGTTGGGAACCAAGACAAAGAAATTATGTATCTAAAATAACCAGAAAATTAAATGCTAGAAGACAGATTGTAAAGAGGTATGAAAATATGATAAAGCACAGGCCAAAAAAAAAAACTTGAAGTTTGAAATTCTTTCAAAATTCAATTTCATAAAGAATCATCAGGTCTTCCCTGGCCGGTTTGGCTCAGAGGTAGGAGCGTCCACCTGTGGTCCGGAGAGACCCGGGTTCGGTTCACGCTAAAGGCACGTACCTCGGTTGCAGTTTGTCCCCGGCCCTGGTTGGTCGTGCGGGTGGCAGCCACTCGATGTGTCCCTTTCACATCGATGTTTCTCTCTCTCTCTTCCTCTCTCTCCCTCCCACTCTATCTGTACAAAAAATGGAAAAATGTCCTCGAGTGAGGATAAAAAAAAAAGAATCATCAGGTCTGAGCCTGAAGTTAAGGGAAACCATTTTTTTTTTTTAACTTTTTAATTGATTTATTTTTGTTACAGATGTTTCTACTTTTTTCCCAATGATTCCCCATCCCCCCGACGCTGTCCCCAGCTTTGTTGTCCGTGTCCATTGGTTATGCATACATGCATATAAGTTCTGTGGTTTCTCTCTTTCTTCCCCACTTCCCTCTCTTCTGAGGGATGTCGGTCTGTACCCTACTTCCACGTCTCTGGGTCTACCCTGTTCCTCAGACTGTTATGTTCATTATATTCCACAAAAGAAGTAAATTCATGTGATATTTGCCTTTCTCTGCTTGGATTGTTTAGCTTAGGATAATACTCTCCAGGTCCCTTCATGTGGTCTCAAAGGATAAAAGATATTTCTTACCGCTGCATAGTACTCCATTGTGTATATGTACCACAGCTTTTCTATCCATTCGTCTAATGATGGACACTTGGGCTGTTTCCAGATCTTAGCTATTGTAAATAGTGCTGCTACGAACGTGGGGGTACATATATTCCTTCTGATGGGTGTTTCAGGCTTCTTACGGTATATTCCTAGAAGTGGGATCACTGGGTCAAATAGAAGTTCCAGTTTTAATTTTTTGAGGTAACACCATATTGTTTTCCATAGTGGCTGCAGCAGTCTGCATTCCCACCAGCAGTGTACTAGAGTCCCCTTTTCTCCACACCCTTGCCAACACTTGTTGTTTGATGATCTGTTGATAGCGGCCATTCTGACAGGTGTGAGGTGGTACCTCATTGTTGTTTTAATTTGCATCTCTCTGATGATTAGTGATGTTGAGCATTTCTTCATGTTTCTTGGTCATTTGTATGTCCTGTTTGGAGAGGTGTCTAATTAGCTCCTCTGCCCATTTTTTAATTGGGTTCTATGTCTTCCCTTTTGTTGAGTTGTATGAGCACTCTTATCTATTTATTTTGGAAACGAACCCCTTATCTGATATATCATTGGCAATTATGCTCTCCCATACAGTGGGTTGCCTTTCTATTTTGGTGGTTGTTTCTTTTGCTGTGCAGAAGCTTTTGAGTTTGATATAGTCCCATGTGTTCATTTTCTCCTTTGTTTCTGTTGCCTTGGGTGATGTATCAGTGAAAATTCTGCTGCGTATGATGTCTGAAATTTTGTTGCCTACCTTTTCTTCTAGGATTTTTATAAATTCACCAGGCACATTTAAATCTTTTCTCCATTTTGAGTTTATTCTTGTGTAGGGTGTAAGTTGATGGTCTAGTTTCATTTTTCTGCAAGTAGCTGTCCAATTTTCCCAGCACCATTTATTAAAGAGGCTGTCCTTACTCCACTGTATGTTCTTGCCTCCTTTGTCACATATTGAGCATAATGTCTTGGGTCAATTTCTGGGTTCTCTGTTCTGTTCCCCTGATGTATATGCCTGTTCTTGTGCCAGTACCAGGCTGTTTTGATTACAGTGGCTTTGTAGTATAACCTAATATCTGGCATTGTGATCCCACCTACTTTGACCTTCTTTTTCAAGATTGCTGTGGCTATTCGGGGTCTTTTTTGGTTCCATATGAACTTTTGAAGTATCTGTTCTAGTTCTGTGAAAAAAGGCGTTGGTATTTTGATGGGGATTGCATTGAATCTATAGATTGCTTTGTGTAGTATGGACATTTTAATGATGTTAATTCTTCCAACCTATGAACAAGGTGTGTGTTTCCACTTTTTTATATCTTCCCCTATTTCTTTTTTCAATGTCCTGTAGCTTTCTGCAAATAGGTCCTTTACTTCTTTGGCTAAATTTATCCTCTAGGTATCTTAATTTTTTTTCCACAATGGTAAATGGGACTTTTTTTAGTTTCTCTCTGTGAGTTCATCATTGGTGTATAAAAATGCCAATTCCTTGACGTTAATTTTGTATCCTGCTACTTTGCCAAATTCACTTATTAAGTCTAGTAGATTTTTGATGGAGTCTTTAGGGTTTTCTATGTATAATATCATGTCATCTGTGAATAATGACAGTTTCACTTCCTCCTTTCCAATTTGGATCCCTTTTATTTTTTCTTCATGTCTGATTGCTGTGACTAAGACTTCCGGTACTATGTTAAATAAGAGTGGCGAAAGTGGACATCCCTGTCTTGTTCCCGTTCTTAAGGGGAATGTTTTAGTTTCTGCCCACTGAGTATGATGTTGGCTGTAGGTCTTTCATATATGGCCTTTATTATGCCGAGATATGATCCCTCTATTCCCACACTGCTGAGCGTTTTTATCAGAAATGAATGCTGGATTTTGTCGACTACTTTTTCAGCGCCTATTAATATGATCATGTGGTTTTTATCTTTCATTTTGTTTATGTGGTGTATCACATTTATTGATTTGTGACTATTGTACCAGCCTTGCATCCCTGGGATGAATCCCACTTGGTCATGGTGAATAATTTTTTTGATGTATTGCTGGATCCAATTTGCTAGTGTTTTGTTAAGGATTTTGGCATCTATGTTCATCAGGGATATTGGCCTGTAGTTTTCTTTCTTTGTAGTGTCTTTTTCTGGTTTTGGAATTAGAATTATGCTGGCCTCATAAAACAAGTTTAGAAATCTTCCTTCTTCTTGAATTTTTTGGAATAGCTTGAGGAGAATGGGTGTTTGTTCTTCTTTGAATGTTTGGTAAAACTCCCCTGTGAAGCCATCTGGGCGTGGGCTTTTGTTTGCTGGGAGAGTCTTGACTACATCTTCAATTTCTTCTGTTGTTATTGGCCTGTTCAAGTTTTCTATCTCTTCCCAGTTCAGTTTTAGGAGACTGTGAATTTCTAGAAATTTGTCCATTTTGCTCAGATTGTCAAATTTGTTCAGAATATTTGTTAACAATCCTTTGTATTTCTGTGGTATCAGTTATTTTTTCTCCTCTTTCATTTCTGATTTTGTGTATTTGGGTTCTTTTTGTTGTTCTTGTTGTTCAGATAGAGTGGGAGGGAGAGAGAGGACGAGACAGAGAGAGAAACATTGACGTGAGAGAGACACATTGAGTGGCTGCCTCCCACAAGACCCAACCAGGGCGGGGAACAAACTGCAACCAAGGTACATGCCCTTAGCGGGAACCGAACCCGGGTCTCTCTAGACCACAAGCCAACGCTCTAACCGCTGAGCCAAACCAGCCAGGGCTCTTTGCTTCTTGGTGAGTCTAGCTAAAGGTCCGTCAATCTTGTTTATCTTGTTGAAAAACCAGCTCTTTGTTTCATTGATCCTTTGAATTGTTTTTTTGGTTTCTATGTTGTGTATTTCTGCTCTGATCTTTACTATTTCCTTCCTTCTACTTGCTCTGGGGTTTTCTTTTTGTTTGCTTTCTAGTTCTTTAAATTGTGAGGTTAAATAGTCAATTAGAAATTTTTCTTATTTCTTGAGGTAGGCCTGCAGTGCTATGAATGTCCCTCTCAGAACTGCTTTTGCTGCACTCCATAGATTTTGTGTTGTTGTGTGTTCATTTTCATTGGTTTCCAGGGCGTTTTTAATTTCTTCCTTGATCTCCTCGGTGACCCGTTCATTGTTTAATAAGATGCTATTTAGCCTAAGGGAAACCATCTTAAAAACAAAATATAATGTATAATCAATGGGAAAACATGACCAAGACAATGGAATGCAGAAGAAAAGCACTGCCTTCATAGAACGCACAAGCCAGCAGGAGAGACCGGCAAATGAGCAGCTGGGAAATAATCAGTGTTACCGAGAACAGCAAAGCAGGATTAGTGGGTAAAGTGTGGGGGGGGCGGGGGGAGACACATGTAGAAAACAGTGCAATAAGAACACCCGTATAGCCCTGGTCAGTTTGGCTCAGCAGTTAGAGCTTCGGCCCTCGGACCGGAGAGTTCTGGGTTCAGTTCCCACTGAGAGCACATACCTCGTTTGCAGTTTGTCCCCAACCCCAACCGGGGTCGTGTGGTTGGCAGCCACTCACTGTGTCTCTCTCACGTTGATGTTTCTCTCTCTCTCTTTCTCCCTCTCTCCCTCCAGCTCTATCTGAAGATAAATGCAAAAATGTCCTCGGGTGAGGATAAAAAAAATAAATTAATATAAAAACAGCACCCGTATACCCTTAACTCAAACTCACATTGCTTGTTCTCTTTTTTCCTGAGACAACTAAGTTGAAGCACAGGAACTTCGGAAGAGACAGGTATTGTACGCAGGGTGTTATGGGGGGCCTCTCGGGGAGGCAAGCCACACGACAGGGCCTGCAGAAAGAAACGTGACCCACGCGTGCTGGGAGCGGCAGGAAGCCATGTGACAGGGGCACAGGAAGTAACAAATGAAGGCAGACAGGCAGCCAGGCTCGGATCATAACCCACAGACCATGATATGGATGGGAATATAATTTAAGTATTTAAATATAAAAGCCACTGCCCAGCCAGTGTGGCTCAGTGGTTGAGCGTTGACCCATGCACCCAGAGGTTGCCAGTTCGATGCACCGTCAGGGCACATGCCCAGGTTGTGGGCCTGATTCCCAGTGAGGGGCGTGCAGGAGGCAGCCAGTCGATGTTCTCTCTCATTGATGTTTTTATCTCTCTCCCTCTCCCTTCCTCTCTCTCTCTCTCTGATATATCAGTATGGGCTAAGTAAATAAATAAGAATGTGAAAGCCACGCTGGAGATCTGGGCGCAGGCCTGATGGGTTCGGAACGCGTCTCTGCAGCTGTGCTGAAAACATCTGGGCTGTGGACAGTGTGAGAAGCAGCTGCAGAGAAACTCGTGAACAGGCTATCGCGCCTCCTAAACACAGCTGGGGCTCGAACCAAGATGGGGGAAGTTCAGAGGGGAAGGATTGGCTCGGGGTGTCTCCCAACACTGGGCTCCAGGACTGAGGGTACGAGGCACGAGGCAAGACGGAGATCGACGGTTAACTCGAAAGCTTTGGCCTGAGCAACAGGGCGAACACCGGTATGAGTTACTGGAAGGGAGAACTCTGGGGAGGGGCGTGTCAGAACCAGAGTGATTTGGGGTATTCTCGCACATTCGAGGAGACGCCAAGCAGACCGGATTGGGAGTGTGGGGTTCAGGGGGAATCGGCCTGGGAGGGAAGTGTCGGGTTCCTTGGCGCACAGGTGGGGACTGAGCGAGCCTTCCGGGGAGCGAGCAGAGGTCAAGCAGACAGCTGAGGTCTTCGACCCGAGGACCCCAGGGTCATCAAGGCGGGAGTCCCCAGGGAAGCCAGACAAGGACACGAAGAGGGGGGGGTGTGGCCAAACCAAGAGAAAGGAGACATTCCTAAAAGAGGGGAGCATTCACCGCTGGGTGACTTCAGAGTTCTATTCGGGGCTTTGAAACACAGTCAAAAAACTAAAAGGCTTCAACGCTGAATGATACTCCGTTAGGTTATAACATCCTGTATTTCTTTTTTCAAGAATAAAGAGAAGGTTGGTTACAAGAGAACACGCTTAAGTGTACAGGTAACCATCAAATCCACCCTCATCCCGAAAGCTGGTCACACCTGTTCTGGTCTGAGAGGCCACGCTGAGGATCGCTCACCTGCGCCCACAGACATCCCTCCCCCAACTCCACACAGGTGTCAGCCTCAAGCCTGAAGCTACTAAGTAATAAAACTCCATCGCGATTTGCGTCCCGGGCTGCACCCTCTGAATGCTCTCCGCAGTGAGCCCGTCACCCCCGACCCCGCTGGAGCATCCTCTGACCTGATTTTGGCTTCCACACCCACGGAGACCGGGGAGCTCGCCGCCTCTTCCGACAGGGAGCGCTGCAGGGCCGGGGGCCGCTGGCTGCCGTCCGCCTCCGCCTCCGCATCCTCCTCCGCAGACTGCTCTTTGACCTCTGCTGCATGGCCAACGAGAAGAGAGCGTCATTGTCGCATTTCCACTCATCTCTGGCGAATTTATCTTAAAACACGTGTTGGGGGAAAAGAGGGACACAGGTGACGATGCTTCGCTAACAGGGAAAGTTCATGTGCATGAGGGATGGCATCGGTCATACTTCTTCTCTAGTGCGACATGATCGTCGCATCATGGAAACACGGCATGCTTTTCCGGTCCTCAAGTCACCCTCCACTCTGAGGAGGCTCCTCCTGGCAGTCACGGTTAAAACCAGTATGTTCAGGTCTATAGGAGTGCGTCTACACCACACACGCGTTGCAACGCGACTCATCAAAAAATATTTCTTCGCAATGTACAAATTGAGATGATAAATGTAAAACAGTCCGTATGCCCTGTAATTGTCAGCCACCCCGAAAGCCGCAGGGCTGAAAAGAACCCACCTTCATGCCAGCACCCTTTCAACCACCCTCAAGACTGCACCCCGAACCCCTCACGAGTGCCTTCTAAGGCCACGTAACCGCTGAGAGGCTTTTCAAACACGATCACCCCGAGTACCTTTCTTCTCTGTAAACGGAAGACTTTTCTCCTGGATTCTGGACAGTACTGAGCATCACCTCTCCACCTGCCTGCGGGTGCAGGTCCGCGTTCTTGGCTCGGTCCTTCCTAACTTCACTTAGACTTTTCTGCACCGCCCCTCCCCCACACATGTCATAGTCCCTCAAGCTCCTCCTCTCTGTCTGTCCTCCTTTTACCACCAAATTTCACGAAATGGGACTTGGGACTGAGTGCACCATGCTCCCAGCCCAGCCAGCGGCCCCTCCACCACGGACGGCTGCAGAAGCAACACTCTGGAGACCTCTCGCAATCTTCAAGCGATCCGGAAATTCACCGGACACCGAGGGCTACCTCCTCCTCGGCGAGATGACCTCCTGCCTTGTAAGCAGGGAGATGCACCAGATGTCCGCAGGCTCTGGCGTCATAAAGACCTGTCCTGGTACCAGCTCTACCAACTACTAACTCGACAACCTTCGGTACAAGCGCCCTCTCTCAGCCTCGTAAGCTTGCTTGTAAGTTAGAAGAGGTTCTAACCTCTGTCCCTTCTGCCGGTTCTGTTAGACCTTGAAATCTCGTAGGTCCCGCCGGCGCTCTTCTGTGAGGAACGCGATTGTTATCCTGCTCTCGAGAGTCTCCTCTGGACTTCGACTTTCTTAAATCGGCACCTCTAGCCCTGACTCCTCTCCTGAGTGCCGGACCCGACTTACCATCCAGCCGCCGGGACAATGACCCTCGCATGGAACCTCGCTCTCATTTCTCAATCAGCACCTCCTGTGGACGCCCCCACTTTTGTGACTATCAAAGTCTTCCAGATTCAAAATGAATCTTAGGGAAGTATTTTGACAAATGAATAATCTGGAGAACTGTTGCCTGCCTGGCCAGTGTGCTCAGTAGTTAGAGCATCAGCCCACGAACCTAAAGGTCTTGGGTTCAATTCCTGGTCAAGGACAAGTACCTGGGTTGCAGGTTCAATCCCCAGCCCCGGTCAGGGTTGTTTGGGATATGACTGATTGATGTGTCTCTCTCACATCTATGTTTCTCTCTCTCTCTCTTCCTCCCTCATTTCCATTCTATCTAAAAATCAATGGGAAAATATCCTCAGGTGAGGATTAGCAAAAAAAATAAATAAATAAAAGGAGACTACAAATAATTGTAAATACTGTCAAATCATAAAGCTAATGATGAAATGAGGCATCAAACAGATGGTTTTGGTTTTCCTATTTAAAATAACATGTTTCTGCCCTGGCCGGTTTGGCTCAGCGGTTAGAGCATCGGCCTGCGGACCAGAGTGTCCTGGGTTCGGTTCCTGCTAGGGGCATGTACCAAAAAAAAAAAAAAAGAATAATGTTTGAAAAGTTTCCAAATGTAATAAAAACTATAAAAATTTAAAAAAATAAAAATAAAAATAAAATAAAATAACATGTTTCTTTTAAAAACTGAAATTGAAAAGTTAGCCATAAATTAAGTTCTTATGGGGCCTATCAATCATGGTGTCTGACCCTGGCCAGTTTGGTTCAGCAACTGGAACATCAGCCCATGGACCAATGAGTCGTGGGTTCGATTCCAGTCAAGGGCACGTACCTCAGTGGCGGTTTGTCCCCGGCCCTGGTCGGGTCGTGCAGGAGGCAACCAGTTGATGTATCTCTTTCATGTCGATGTTTCTCTCTCTCTTTCTCCCACCCCCATCCTCCCTCCCACTCTATCTGAAGATAAAATGGAAAAATATCCTCAGATGAGAATTTAAAAAAAGCAATCATGGTGTCTGTCCTGCCTACCCCTAGACACAAAAGGGACATAGCTGAAACCAAATCTACAAATACAACATACATTTGCATCAAAAATTATAAAAAGATTTGCAATGTTTACTACGTTAACTTTTTTTTGTTTCTATACAACAAGAGTCCACCCCGCGGACAAAATGAAAGTCTATGCCACAGATGGACAGAAAGTCCCGATAATCTGTATGTACCCCCCAAGCTACTCAGAGCCAGAGTGGGCAAGGAGCTCCGCAGATGAGCAGGGCACACAACCCTCTGGGGAAATGGACAGACCCATACTCTCTCATGTATTCAACTCTTAAGTCGGCCACATCACTGAGCAGCTGTGGACTGTATTTCCCAGGGTTTTGGCAGCTGAGCCTGGCAACTTCTCACCAACAGAAAATGACCGGAAGTGACCACACAGCTTCTACCTCCCCTGGAAGGACTCAGCTATGCCCCCCTTTCTATGCACACGGACGCATCAGCCACCTGCTGCAGCAGTGCAAGTGACAGCGACACGCTGGGGGCACAGAGAGTCACGGGACGGAAGGAGCCTGGGTCCCCAGACCACCACTCGGAGCAGGGACGCCCCGTCAGCCGGGGCCTCTCGCTCACAGATCTGTTCCACGGGAGAAGGCCTGCTTTGTTTAAGTCGCGGCTGCACTTTGGGTCTCTGTTACGGCAGTTCAACCCTAAGTAACACAGACATGGGGTCAGGGGGGGGAAATGCCACAACAAAAGTGTGAAATAGGCGGGTCGGTGACCAGGTGACGGGGTCGGTGATTCTGGAGATTGGAAATCAAATGACCCTGTGATGTCATATCAAAATATGTGCTAGACCTCTGAGCTGCCACGCCGTGGACAGCACGTATCTGGCTGTCCGCAGCCCACCGGTAGGAGTGCGCCCCTGAACCCCACCCTGGCTGGTGCCTGGAGCAGGTAAGCTCCACCCTTGAGGGTGATGAGAGAGACTGTATCCTCCGCCCCACCTGTGCTTATTTGATCTGCGACCACTAGGTGGCGCATGTGTGGTGACTCTTCTAAAGAACCCATCCAGGTCGGGGTTCCTGAGGGCGTGACAGGCGTGCCCATCTTTCGGTGACATGGACTCTGTGCTGGGCACAGCTCGGGGGAAGCAGATGTCACTGGGATAGGATGATAAACCAAATCTAAAGCCTGTTTCACCTCCCACAACTCTTACGTAGTCCTGAACAGTTGGTCCTGCGACGCAAAAAAGTTTAAATTGACAGCAAAGGACGTTTGCCGGGGTCGCCAGAACCAAAGCCTTGGAAGTGAACGGTGCAGAACCTGGCATCCTCGCCGGGTCACTGGCTAGCAGTGTGCCGCCGGCCAGTCACGTGGCCACGTCTCCAGTTCAGTGTGGGAAACCATCGCAAAGGCAGCGAACTCACACCACCTCGTACACACCTGTCTTCCGGACGAGAAGAGGTGCTGCGTGTAAAGCCGTAGCCCTCTGCCTGAAGTGCGCGGAGGTGCGTGGCCGCTGCTCCGCCTGCCTGCCTGCCTGCCTTCACAGGTGGCACGCCAGCGCCGGGTTAATGCCCCGCCCGGCGGGCACCGGCCCCAGACACTGCACTCCTGACGGCAGACCACACCTTCTGAAATTGCGTTGTCAGAAGTTAACAGGAATGAAGAGAGCTGACTCAGCACCTTCTGGCCGTGTGCCACTTTTCACCAAACAAACTCACTACCGTGTACCACGCGTTCTACTCAAACGGCAGCCAGCAGAAACACAGAACGGGGTCCTTATCGGCAACGGATCCAGCCAGGAGACAGCAAGTGCACCACCAGGGTGCAGTCTGCCAAGATGACGTGACAGGTAAAGGGAAGAGGTGGGGGTGCAGCTGAGAAAGGATTGCGAGGCCTAATATCTTCATTCGAAAGAGAAGGAAACTGAAGTCTGAAAGTCAAACCAGAAGCTCAAGAGCACTAACAGGGAGCAATGCTGGGAGTCAAAGCCAGGGGGCGCTCTTCCCACCAGCACCCGGGCATTACGGCCTGGCACAGTGCTGGACCAGGCTTTGGGGAGACATGCTCACAGTGCCCTAGGGCCCTGTCACCAAGGAACGGTAGTTGAATATGAGGCCAAATCTGAAAATACGGAGTTTTTCCTCTTTCTGTGTTAAGCACGACTAAGATTATAGAGAAGGCACCTCACAGCCAAGTTCACAGAAATGAAACATGTTGGTTGGGGACAATTATGGAATTACTGCCCTGACAGGTGAAATGATCCTTTGAAAGGGCTACGTGTGTCCTACGACTGCACCCGGCAAACTCACCAACATGACCGAGAGACAGCCTAGAGGACGTCAAACATATTCCAGCGCCGGATACGGGCTCCGTCATCGACAGACATGCCCTCGAAGCATCATATGGTTCAAGAGTATTTCTACTGTGTCTAACCGAGTGTTCCAGGATCTTGGAGCGAGAGGTTGCACCTCTGTTTTACTAACCACTGAGGTGCCGAATTCTAAACGCCCGTCTCTGTGACCGCTCGCACTCCGAGCTGGCGCAGTGGCGCCTCACACCGGCAGGAAGCGGGCGGTCTCATCATCACGTTCCGTTTGCAGAGAGCTCCAAGTATCTCTTACCCTCATCACTACTTCAAAATTACAGCCATCATTAACTCAGATGTCACAACGAAGGGTACATGTAAAAACGGATTACA